TATTAAAGTTGGTGTACTTCATGTTTTTTATTTTAGTAGTAGTAATTCTTAATGACTTGTATTTGATTTCTTTATTTAATAAACAAAGCCTTCAATAAAAGACAATTTTATTCAATTTTATCTGAAATTTGAATTTTGAAATTCATCCGAAATTTGAACCAAAAAATCTTATCCCGAAATTTTATCTGATTATGAATAGTCTTGACACGTAGGAACCCGTAAATCTTATCCGAAAATATTATCCACATTAATTATTAAGGTAAATAAAATTGTGAATAAAACAAAAAAATGAATAGTAACTGCCCTTAGCTAGGGCAATGGGTGGAAACACAAAATTCTGATTTTGCAAGGGCAACCACTATTCACGTTAATAGTGACTACCCTAGCTCCCCCTTGCCATGGCTAAGGGCAATATGGGTGGAGTTGCTCTAATCGTTGATCTTTTGCTTGTAACAGGCTAACAGCAGCTTTTATAGACGAGGTGATGCAATGCTGGCAAATATATATATTGAAAGAGTTCGAATTTGGGGATGCCACTATGCTACTATAACTTTTGATATCTTTTTTTTTTTCCAAGGTTAGACTGTCACAATCACAAAGAACGCTTCAAGAAAATGCAGATGAATTGTGTGCAATGAAATAATGTTGCACATCACTCAGATATGCCTTATTTATTCAGAGTGAAGATTTGTATTTGCTTTAAGTTTTTTTTTTTTTTTAAATGTATATAATAATTTTTTTAAAAAATTAACTAATAATTAACACAGTTTTATCTAAATTGATTCATTTATTCTAACAAAAAAATAAATTATTTTTCTTACTTGTTGGTCTGATTTGTAGATAGGGAGAGAAGAATTAAGTGGGCCAAACATTCTAAACCCATATGAAGGTCATTTTTACTCCTCAGAGAGCAATGCAATTGGGTTGCTTCTTGAGAGAGACTTCTAGCTCCTTCAAAGGCTTCAATTGTATATTGTTGTTGCTGTTAGCATGGTATATGAATTCATTTTGCATCATGTCTAAGGGATGGCTTCAGAATTTGAGCTGGAAATGTAATGTCATTAGATGGTTGGTCATACACAATTAATCAATGATTTGGATAGGGAAGTTTGTTTTTTCCCCTATGGACTTCCCAAATGGTTCAATTATAACTTGTAAGGGCCATAAATATGCACCTCTTCATGCTCATTTGAGAAGTAAATTAAAAGATTTGCTCAACATTCAGAATCTGAGTAACTCAAAATTCCAGCCTACTCTCTCCACAGTTTCTGAGTGTATTTTAACTAGCGTGTTTGAGATGCCCTTGAAAGCAGATACTGGATGTCTCATTCTTATATAGTTTCAAGAGCACCAAGTCCAAATTTTGTATATAGAGTTGCAAAGTTAGATCAAATTCTGGTTCTGCACTGGCTTTGTTCAAATTGGATCCTACAAATTGACATGCATTGATTACAATAAACAGAATTTAAATATGAAAACATAAACAAGTTCATAAAATGAAATTTGCCGATTGGTTACTATTTCACCCTGCTTCAGCATCTGCACGACTTTGAAACACAGATACAATGATGAAAAGGAGACAAGTGAAGGCCAGTTGTGCTCAAATCATGCTGTCTGATCTTGCAGGCAACCTCCTAAAGAAGTTGAGTGGAGCTGAAGGAAGTTTGTGGCGGAACCTGGGATGCCGTAACACATATATGCCTGCTAGAAGGGCCACAACTTGGAATGGGGTTACATAGAGAACTATGGCAACAATCAAACAGAAAGTTACAAACAGAGTGGTTGCTCTTGGGTCTCTCCAACTCAGAAGTGACTGAAACCTTTCGCCTTGAGTTGCCAGATCACCAACAACAGTCTGAACCCTCCCTGCTATACTTCTTAGTCGATCATATCTCATCCTAACAATATCTGATGGCCGGGAAGTTGGGAATGTGTCAAACTCTTCGTCTCGTTCATCAGGATGAGCAGCATCAGCATGAGATAGCCGGGTGTCCATGTGAGGCGGATGTCTTGGCCTCCACCGGAAGTTCCAAATTCCAATCAAGAATAGGTAGAGAAAAATAGTGGGAAGAATTAGTTCTGGGTAAAGAACCAAGATAATATAAAGGACATGAATCAAAATGGTTGTAAGAGGATTCTTCCAATTGCAGATCTGATCAAACCATTTTCCTACTGCAATCAACCCACTTAAAACTCCCATTATTCTGAAAAAATTGGCCTTGCTTCTTCTCATGCTCCACATATGTGAATCAACATCCAGCATATACTCTACAACCTCTTTCCTCAGGGGTGGCTCAGCCCGGCTCAGCCTCATTGAGACAATCTGCATAGCCTGGTGCCTCAAGCTATCAAGCTGAATTACAGACAATGGATGAATGTAGTGCATTTTTGGCAACAACGGATGTGAATACATATGCAACATATTAATCAAAGATAAGCATGTAAACCTCACTGCCAGCTGAATTTCACCTGTTTTCTTCACCCCAGATGGATGTAGAACCAGGAGAGGATAGGAATGCGTGTAAACCCTGTCAGCTTCAAGTGTAGATAGCCGAATTCTCACTTTGCCAATTTTTGAATCCTTTCCCCCTTTATCACCCCCATGTATATGACCATTATCAAAAACCCCCATTGTGATGACAGTACATGGGTCGAAAACCTCCCAGATGTACTGCTCATTCCACTTAGGATTAAAGCTGTCCACAATCGTCCTCGTTCGAACCCATTTCTGCCCATATTTAGCTACACAATAAGCATCTGTGGTTCCTCGGCCATCTTTTGTTTTCATTGGCATCAGTCCCACGGCACTTAAAACGCCTACCTCCAAAATCCCAATGCTTGACTTCCACAACTGCTTTGCTGTTGGCCTAAGATCACTACTGTAGTGTGTTGATTCATCCAAAACATGATATCCACCGTCCAAACAAATCCTTAAATGAATCCTGCTGGCAAATTTGATATCCTTCTTCTGTTCCCCATCTATGATCATATGCTTCTCAAGATTAAACCACCTAGTGTTCACAGGCTTATGGTCTAACCTCCTCTGCACATTCTGTAAAGCAATCACACACTTCCCCAATATTTCATCTTTGCCTGATCCCACTCTATCTCAAATCTTCATTCCACATTGGATTAATAGTTTTACTCTGTGATATTCTAGTCCTCAATACCTGATTTCCATGCATAACCTTCACAAAAACTTCCGGGTACCTACTCTTGTCATTAGGTAGTAAGTCCTGAGCTTCAATAACATTGACCCTCACATACCAAAGCTTGGGGGAGAGGTATACCTTTGATCGAATGTTATTGACACCCTCCGGCCCAACTGTTGCAGCATCTGAATGCCACGCATCTGGAAATGCCTCATCTGCTTGAGTTCCCATCCAAACAGCCAACATCAGCTCTCCCTTGACCTTAACCCCCTTCCTATCCTCCAGCCTATACCATTGTGGTGCCAATGGGCTATCTGGTGGAATGCGTTTTGGGATGTCAATGAGATCAAATATAACCCTGCCCATGAAATCATCTAGCACAACATCCTTATCTTTCACCACAGCTTCCAAAAACGAAGCTTGAAGTCGATCTTTGGAGAAAGCAAACACCTGATTCCACTCAGGGTTGGACTTCTTCTCAAAATGCCTAGTAACTCCCTTATAGTTTCCAAGTTTCACTTCAACATAGGGATCACAGCTACCAGTAACATCTTTTGCAGGTAAATCCTTTGCTTTGACCACACGAACATAAAGGTATTGCATCTGTTCAACAAGGTCATAGGTGCATGAGAGCTTGTCACCGGTGACGGAGCCCGCGCCAATGTTTGGCGAGGTCTCTTTCAAAGCAAAATCTTGAGGCTGAGGAGGCTTCTGCATTTTTCTAGTTTATGGAATGGCAATAGAAGCTAGGATATGAAAAGCAGAAGCTTTGAAACAAGATATGGTTCTAGAGAGCTGTTATCACTGCAAGTGCAACCTCAACAATTCCAAAACCAAGGCTCAATTCCTTCCTAAAGATGCAGAAGCTTTCTTTGTGAAGATTGAAGAGAAATTATATCCCAAAGATAGAAAGGAGATAACTTTACCAAGAACTTCAAAAGAAAAGGACAAATTAAGGAACCTAATCAAGCATGGTACACTTATACACGATAACAGAGTGGGAAAATGCGTCTGTAAGAGCTTGTTCACAACCTGCAGAATTCAAAGAGATCAAAAAATCAATATGTTACTCTTCCGGAAAGTACCCTCTTTTGGTTTCTATGAGAAGAACGGAGAGAGATAAAAAATTCAAATGTTACTTCTCTTTCCTTTTTTGGGATCACAAAGAAAGTGAAAAATAATAATTTCAACTTAGATAAATATATAAAGTTTTTCCCTTTTACAACACATAACCAACATTAAGGTTCATACACATTTTCTGAGCAACCAACCACATTAACTTCAGAGTACTAATCAGAGAGAACAAAAGGAAGAAATCATGCATTTGTTGTAGTTTACCGTACGAAAATGAGCAATATATTCACAACTCACAGATCCAGTCCAGAAAACCCATGAAGTCCAAGACAAGAAGTAAGCTCAAAGTTCAAGAAAACTTGTGCATTATAACTTCAACTACTACTACTCACACTGAAAGACATGGGTTTTCAACAACTACTCAAAACCAACTTCAAGAAAATCTTTAAAAAAGCGAGCGATGTTCAACTCCACAAGTAAATGGCCAACTTTGACAAAGAAAAAATAAAAAAATAAAACTTTACAAGTAATGCCAACTCCTTTGAGTTGACAAAGAATATGGGAGAGAGAGTTCACACTGACCTCAGGTAAACTACAGTGCTTTCTTCAAGTTCAGGGAGCTGCCATGGAAAATCTAAAAATTTAGGAAAATACAAAAAATGAGAAACCCAGTTTCAGTTTGTAAGATAAAGAGGCAACTAAAGTGTGTAGTGTGGGGCTAAGTTAAGATCTGTGAAAGACTGAATCTGTGTATAAAGAGCATATACAGAGAGAGAGAGAGCCTACTCAGTGCCAACTTTTTCACACTTTTTTATGTGTTTTTAATTCTTATTTTGTTATGCGAGAGCCCGCTGCACTCGTGTGAGGATTGTGGTCGGTTTTGGCTCATTCGGGGATTGTTGGTCTTGGATTAGTGTCTCTTGGTTTCCTCATCATGTGTTTGGTATAGTTATGAACATTTTAGTGGTGGTGAATTCCTTTTTTTTTTCCCTTATGAAACTGCACGTAACATCCGTAATTCTTAAGATCATAATAGGTTACTAAGAAATTAATTTTTTAGTAGGTTTCGAAATTCTTTGCGACAGAAAGATTGTTGGGCTTGCTTCACATACTTGGAGGTTGTGGTACTCTTTGATGGACGTGTAAATTTATCTCATCGTCAATACATTGGAGAGTTTATACACGTTAATAGTTAAGAGGGAATTAAATGTGGCATTCCTTTTTTTTTTTTTAGGGGCAAACTTTATTACTTTCATAGGGAAATGTATTGTATGAATTGATTGATGTGGGTACATACTCTCAGAAGACAAAAAGGTTAATGCTTATTTCCAAGGTTGATGTGACCTTAAAATAAAAATCTCAATTCATACCTTGTTAAGTAATATGTTAAAATTCATTTAACCCGGAATAACTTGAATTTAAATCGTATATAATGGCATATGAATCTGTAGATAGCAACATAAATTAATTAATAAATAAAAACTTGTATGGTATGATTTAGTCAAATTTATTTTGTTGATAGTGGTATAACCATGTTAGATTAGAGTGAGGTTGTTCCAAAATCATTGCATCCATACTTCCTATATCACCATTGTATAATGTATGAATATATAGGTGGTCGCATTAATTTTCCTAAATTAAAGGTGAGTTGGATTGCTACTATTATACTGAGGTTGGTATGGTGGTGGAAGAAGGTGACTTGAACTAAAGGGTAAACTAAATATAAGGTTGATATGACAGCATTTTTGTTTTTAGTTCGTTCCTTTTCAATTAGAAGAGAGAATTATAGGCAAATGACTCACTATTATAGTGGTTTTGAGTTCTAGTATTTGTGTAATAGGTGTGAATTTAGTACGTTATAGTCTTTTTTAATAGAAAACAGAACTACAGAGTAGAAAAATGGGAGAGAAAATAGATTAAATAGATGAAAAGTATGTATAATTACATGAATATAGGTGACCATGGAAATGCATGGTCTCCAAACGCTGAAATCTTGAACTCTTAAATGATATATGCATCACTAGCTACAAACTATTTTATTTGGCCATGCTCATACCCCGAAATTTCAATTCTTATGATAGGGCTGCGTTTCATGGGGCCAATTTGGAAAGCAAAAGACAACCTCCTACATTCATATATCATCAATGGTATTCATGGTTTGAGAGAAAAAGTTGCAAAACTTAGGCCCACACTGCATGCTGTAGCAGTTCAGAAAATAATGAGAAATGACTATAATCTGGAATGCGTAAAGAGGACGGAAAAATGTGAGCATGAAGATATTTGAGTTCATAATTGATGAATTATTATATATAAAAAATGGTTTTGGGAAGAAAAGGAAGAAGAAATTTTTTCTTTGAAATTGAAGTTTGAGTCTTATCTTTTATAGGTGTGTTAGGTAGAACCATCAATTTACCAAAATCGTAACAGATGATTCAAAAATTGATGTGACACGAACAGTTGTCATGACTCATGATGACCCATGCAGGCAAATTTACCAGACATGCAGGACATCAATCACTTTATGTTTTTCATTTTTCCTTTTTTAAAATTTAATTTTTTTCTTTTAATACGATAGGTAACATGGCGAAGACCCAGTCGGACAAGGAGGCTCGAAGAGGTCAAAGTAGAAAGGTGTTCGTGTTTACAAAAAAGGCAAGCCAGACTCCCAAAACCTCGACGGGAGGAGAGTATGGCCAACATCATGCACTTTAGGTTATGCAAAAGCTAAACAAGCCTTATTAAGCCTCGTAGCCAATGGGGCAAGAATGTATTTTACTTGAACTGAAAGCATTGCCATTATTTAACAATTTTGTAGCATAAGGCAGAAGAAAGATTTCTGCTTTCAAGAAACAAGTCTTGTTGAGCAGCCTGGCAGTGGCAGGACAACGGTTTAGAAGAGCTTAGAGGATTAAAACTCCTTAAAGCATTGTATATTGTATAGATTAGCCGGAGTGGCACTTTTCAAAGGATTCCATACAGATTAGTGAAGGTGGAAATGTCTGATTTTCCTTAATTACCGCCAAAAAGAATAGTTACAGTGAAGATGGACACAAAAAAAATCATACAGATAAGTAAAATTCTATTGATGAATATGTAGTTACAGAAGCAACACGCTCCCCCTTCACATTTCGAAGAGAGGCAACGACCAACTTGAAAAAAAATCATACAGTTGAATATTATTACATAAACTACATTCCTCCTTTTATTTCAACTTAAACAATTTCTCTGTTAAAAATTGAACTGATAAAACATCTCAATCATACTGCCAGCTGCTACAACCGGGGGTGCAGGTGGGGGTGGGGTGAGAGAGAGGAAGAGATCTCATCCTTCAGTGATATTTTTTCACATGAACTGGTGCACCTTGCTTTCCTCCAGATTCAAGCATTGCCTCTAGAACAGCAACATCTCTGGCACCTTCCAAGAAAGACATGCGAGGCTCGGCTTCATAGCCATTTCCCTTCTGCAAAGACCATCAGAGGGATGAACATGGGGTTGGGGTATGGGGGTGGGGATGTGGGAGTCAAAACTAAAATCCGACACAGTAAAGACCATAAGAGTTAAACATCAATCACATAAATTGCATGACGATTGACATCCGAAATTACCCTTAGATTGGCCTGTGATATGTCATTAATAAAAGCTTTGAATTCTTCATCCACTCCGCTAAATTGGTAGAAGGAGCTTTTGCTTTGTCCATCAGAACCATAAAATAAAACCTGTCACAGTATCATAAGCGATCAAGAGCTTGTCAATTTATTACAAGGTGATTTAAATACAATTCAAGATGGAAAAAAGAAAGAGAACACCAAATCCCATTACATTCTGATGTCCAGCGTCATAGAATTAAATACACTGTAGGATGATTTTCAACATACCAGGTAGCCATGCCGTCCATCTTGGTTTCCACGCTCAATTTGCAGCGTTCCCTTCAAGCCAACAAATCGCCAAACTATCTGATGGTACAAGACAAAATGAGAAAAATAAAAGTTTATGCATATGCAGAATTATAATGTGAAATTAATTTTTACCACATGCCTTTGGTGATCTTGAGGAGACTACCATCACAAAAACCCCTGAACATCCATTCTCCAGTTGGCTAAGGAAAGGAAATCCAATAGGTCACATTTAGTATCTTTGTCGTGCAAAAAGAAAAAAACAAACAGATTCTGCAAATTTAACTATAACCAATAGTAACTTACAAGAGAGAGGATACGTTATCTGGTGCAGGTAAGGTCTTGTCAACATGAGAGGTTATAGCTGACACAGATACTAGCTCACATCCAGCAAGCTGTTGCAATGAACAGGGCATATTGAGATTCATGCCTTGATTAAAATATTATAACACAGAGAGGTGAACTTACCTGAGCATGCTTTATGCATTTACAGGCCAACCACATAACCACCCTACCTATAGGCCCAGAACCACCTATCTGTCTCGTAACATATATGCATCTAATGAGAACTTCCCAATTCCATGAGAGTCCCAGAATGTAGTTACTCTAGATTCATTATGTCTTTGCATTTAAACCCAGAAAGGGTTCACAGTTTTACAACCTTCTTCAGTTTGTCAACAAAAGTTTGAGAACACAAGATTCTCTTAAAAAAAACATAAAAAGGTCACGGTCTTGAAAGATATGCAATAATGGAAACATGCATATACAGGAACACCACTAAATACAAATATTTATGAGATTAGCGCAATAAAGAGTTCGGTCATACAATAAAAGGAGGTTAAGAGAAAATCTACAGAGAAAGTGGTATTAAAAAAGACTTCATCATAAGTACAACTAGAATGATAAATTCAGCAGATAAACTTCAAATTCCATGATTGGATAAGCAGCAGAGAATTCTTTCAAAGAAACCAAAGTCATAGTTTACAGTCACTTTTTGATGAGAATGTGACATTACCATCCTCAGTCCAGCAACGAAATGTACTCCCATGTCCAGAATGAAACCTCCCTGCCATAAAGGTGACAATCTTGTTGATAAAGGAAACCAAAGTAGAGTGGGACGACATTTATTTATCTTTATTACAATTAATCTTATAAAAATAAAATATAACATTAGAAGTAGAGATTTTTACTTCAAACACCTAAATAGGTAGTGGATTGTATAGAGTCAACAAGACACAACTATAAAGCATGCTAATAAATACGACTTGTTTATACTTGTATTAATCAGATTAACAAGGTTTTGACATGAACAGGGCCATGTCTGACATTGCCATTTTCACAGTTGTGTTATCATATAGTATCAGAAATTTCCACCCCTAGGCAGGATCATTACATTGAGAAGTAGCTTTCACTAAGATGATTATACATATATGTACATATTTGATGGTAATTACTAATGAACGGGGGAGAAATTGGGAAGCACATACGGTAAAATTGCGCCTCCAGGAGCTTGAGAAGTAAGGGTTCGAACTGTTCATTGATCCTTCAACAATAACTTGGATGCTCATCACATCTCCAATATCATTCACTAGTTTCTTGCCCTGTAAAAGGGGCAATGAGGGTCTTTTAAGTAAAAAAAGTAAAAATAATTTAACAATATCAATATACTGGTACCTCAACGAAAGCAGGTTCGAATCTATAATTTTCTGCTACAGCCCAAATTGGTTTATCAGGGATATTGGCAAAAATTGACCTATAACTTGACAGTGCAGTTTCCAATTCGCTTGTAGCTGCATTATCAAATCAGCAATTTAGAATTTTGAACTTTTGAACTCAAACAAT